ATCACGAGAGAAGAATAAGATCGGGAATGTAAGCGCATTCATTACCACGACTGAAATACTAAAAAAAACTGTGAAACAGTTGCCGCTATGTGGCAGTATTTGACAGACAACGGGTTCGAGACGACGAGATCCTGTTGGATGTTGATTACTGTATTTAAGGAGAAGAGCTTCGATAGCTTAAAGACTAGCGGGAATCGGGAATTGGCAAGAGAAACGAAGATTCGTTAACATTTAAACAAGAAACAGAGAACAGGAACGCATTTTGCTTAGGGCTGTGCGCATACACTGAATGCAATCGTATGGACGATGGTTTTGGCTGGAACCAGGTCAGTTATAATAAAAGTGCGGTAGACAGTTCTCCTAATTATATTTTGCCCCACTTATCCCAATTCCAGCTTTGATGCTGGACGGATTTTCCGTATTTAGTTCCATATACATGTATCTCCATTCAGATCCGATTTTCCAATCCCGCGGTAATCCATTATGAACGTAACCTCGTTTATTTTATTAAGCAAGTTTATTCAACTATGGCATTTCTATTTGTGAATATATTTTTATTATAGATTCGGCAACTCAACTCAGTATGAAACCATCAGTGTGTCCACCTGACACTTCACCTTCATCGCTCTGATCTCTTTGCAAGAAGTGGCTCCTGTTAGACACATAATGGGGTACGTTATCAGTGTTGGTTTATGTCAGGTAAGAGCAATTTCAAATTCTCGCTAGTATTTTCGCTGGGAATGTCTAATTCTTATTTTCTTGTAATTCTAATCCTAACCTCAATTTGCAGGCAATATGTAATTGCGAGAATTTGAGCAATCTCGTTACTTTACAAGTAATCGATAACGTTTTCCTTGCCTTGGCCCGTTAACTCAGAGACTACACGAGGCTACTCTTTAAGAGTAAGATATAGTCCAAATGCAATTTCCAGTTGTGTTCTGTCATTTGAAAGTAAAAAGGGGACTGAACTTGCAGGAAGAAAAGGAATATCATCGCCCTTAAAAAGAAACAGATCATTGCACGTAATCGTCTTTTATGACCTATAGAAAAAATAAGGCCTTCGTGTATCAACGCCAATGAATTTGAACCCAGATCGAGAACGAGACATACGCCGCCGGTCACCAATCTACTCTTCATTTTCACTATCGCCTAACTTGCTCAATCGGTCATACTTCCTACTCTTTCTGCGGTTTGCGTTGCAACTTATGGGACGTTCTTATCAACTGGAGTAGTCATTGAGGTTAAAAAACAACAACGTTTATTCTGCGTAATCCTGACCGAGTAAGTATCTTCATTTATATCATACAGTGCTGTTTGAATGTGTCTCGGTTTTGTATCTCGTCAATCTGAGCGATGTGACCAATTTTGCGGTTTTAGTGACAGCAGTTCAAGTAAAATAAAACCTTTTTTGTTCATCGAGCACTTACCATATTGTTTGTTCTTTGCATCCTAGGGAATAATAATCAAATCTTTACTTTATATTTATCAGACACTTCTTCTCTGATCTGCTTAGTTGAATCTCGGTCGCGCAGTGTGACTGTACCGTCATTCGCCGATTGAGTACCGACGACTGATGAGAGGTTGAAGGGCAGTCTACCTTGATCGAAATGCTCAATTTTCGCACATGGGACGCATACGGGCAAGAGTCATGTGTCGGAGTCGTGCCATGATTAACAGCTATTACGTAAACGACTGACAGATGTCACGAACCAATGGCGTTAGGAAGACGCCGCGTATAAGTAAGAAGGTGTACCTACAGCTTATGAGATATATCCCAGTCTATACAACGCACTTGTCAAAAGCATGGAACTACACTAAGCGTGGACGCTCTGGGTCATATAAATCATTGCAAGCAACTGCATCTATAGATAAAGGAGTCTTTATTATTTTATCGGTACTGGGCACTGAAGCAAGAACACAGGAAGAAGAGGAAAGTCTGAATGCAAGGATTTCTACTTCCAAAAGTGAGCCCCCCATAGGCGCGCTAATTAGTTTGTACATGCAGTGAACAGAACTCGGGAAATTGCGTGTCTTGCTTGTTGACTGCTTTCTGACCACGACTCGAGGCGGATTATTATGATTCAACATGAACAAGCTTTAATCCGTTCTCTGGACAACACGGGAGATATGGCGGCGTCTTATGATGGCATTGTAAGTGGAGTAGCGATGATGATGATATAAAGTTCATAGTGCATATGTCGTTTATTCATACGTTTGTGGTGGATTAAGTTGTGTACAATCGGCGCCGACCAAATTCATCAGTACGATATGTAATATTTTATTTGTGGCGTTGTGTTAGAGTGTGAAAAAGAACAATCTCTGATCCGATAGTTAACGAGATCACTGCATCACGTAATCAATTAGTTTTAATATCTGATATGCACAATAAAGTTCTAAATTATAAAAAAAAATATCTGATATGCAAGATTTTTTCTTTTGTGACCTTAGACTCAGCATCGCGCATCGTGAGTTTTATTAAGCTTACATTTTCTATTGTAATAACTACTGGTTTGATTTTAAAGTTCTGTGTGTATGATCGACAGGATTCAAGCGACTCTGTTCTAATTATCCCTTAAACTGTATTAGTATTGCCTCCAATGTAACAAACAACAATACCAAAAATAGATTTGTGCCACTAAATAAATACCCCCAACATAGTTCGTTAGAAACTGCCAATTGGGTTGCACAAGTCGGCTTGTGTTTATCTGCATGCAGATCTCTTGCCGATCACTAACGCTAAGTATGTATATTTTATCGGTCAACCGCCGATGGTGTACGGTGGTGGGTGCATTACAATATCCATACATTTAACGTTGTAAACTGTTAATTAGTTATCTGTTGTAGATATTTTCTTAGTAAAAATTTTCTTATTCTAGCGACTTGGAAGCTACGTCAGACTCACAATACTTACTATTACTTAGTTTGGAGAGTCAGCACCATGAAGAAGTGGATTTCAATTTGTTAGTTTACACTTATATTAACTTTCACATTTGTAGCTCATAAGAATTGCGTAAACAAGATAAACCTTTTTTATTAATACATTTAACATTATAATTATTATTATGTAAGAATAACATAGTAACAATGCCTATGTCATGGGTTGGGGATAGGTGTCTGTCTTCAAATGGTCATTATTCCTCAATAGTTTATCTGTTTGCTGAGATCTTTGACTCTTTAGATTCACAATAAAGTAAAAAAAAAACCTGGTCTAATAATATGGTACCCTATCATATATCATAGCCTCAATGCAATGAAGCATAATTTGCAAAAAATTTTAATCGATATTATTCTTCAACCACTCATTTTGCAACTATGCATGTTAGCTCATTTAAATCTCCTGGACAAACTGAATTACTTTTAATAATGGCAAAAGTACAGATAGCATAGTAACAACGTCCTCAAAAATGCGTAACAAAATTAGGAAAAAGGAAATGTCTTGTTATCCTTGTCATTATCATTATCATTATCTATATTATTATCTATATCATTATCATTATCATTATCTATATCTATATCTATATCTATATCTATATCATTATCATTATCATTATCTATATTAATATCATTATCATTATCATTATTATTATCGTTATTATTATTATTATTATCAATATTATTATCATTATCATTATCAATATCAATATTAATATCAATATCAATATCAATATCATTATTATTATCATTATCATTATTATTATCATTATCCTTATTATTATCATTATCGTTATTATCATCCTTATCATCATTCTTATCATTATCATTATCATTATTATTATCCTTATTCTTATCCTTATCATTATTCTTATCCTTATCCTTATCCTTATCCTTATCATTATCCTTATCATTATCCTTATCATTATCCTTATCATTATCATTATCATTATCATTATTATTATCTTTATTATCATCTTTATTATTATCGTTAACCGCTTTAACGAAGGTCTCCGTTAAAACGGACTATTAGTTAAAGCGGGCTTCTATCTATCTTAATATATGAATGACTTGGTTCCATAAAATCTTTGTTATAAGCCATCTTCGTCAAACCGGACGTTAAACTGTGTATTATCGTTACTACCATTATTGTTATTGTTATCGTTATCGTTATTTTGAGGAAATAATAATAGTTACGATTGATTGCCATTGTGTAACTCCGCATGTGATTGTTTATACACTTCTGTGTCGAACTTCTCTGCACTGCTGCACTGTGAAAGGGTGCGCAGGTTCGCAATCCAATGAGAATTAAACTCGTAAACAGTTGTAGTAATATAAACTGTTCAATGTTAATGGCGTGCATCCCTAGCATTCCCGAGTTGCTTCCCCACTCAAGATGAGCTTTACTACTACGGTCACACCTGTCTATTTGCATAACGTATTCTGTTCATTTGCATAAAGGAGCCCCAGTCCCTTATTATTGTTGGGACCTATTAGCTATTTGCATAACGTGAACGTGCATACACTCACTGGACAAAAGTCTACGTAATTTTTGTCGATCACATAGTAAAACATATGAAAAATCTATTTTTTCGA